CAGTTAATATTTCTCTAAGAAAAATTAAAGTCAGTTGTCAATCTACTCTGCGAGCAGTTGGTATTGTAAATTAGGTTTCAAATGAGAGTTGATGCTTTCAATCCAAATTATCAAACTGTCTGCAGCATATGGTCTGTCTGTTGTTTTAAAACGGCGTTTTTTGTCGTTAACATGATCATATTTTAAAACAGCTCTGAATAAAGCATAAATTATTATGTATGGCTTAACCAAGGGACACAAAAAAATTCCAAATAAATTGATCCTTTAACTTTTTTTATGGGCGCTCGATTAAATTTGCTTTCTGGAGGAATTTTTTTGTTGTCGCTTTTTTCATCTTTGTTTGTTTGTTTTTTTTCCCTTTTCATGTTTGTTTGTTTGTTTTTTCTTATTTTTTTTATTTTTGGTGTGTGTGTATGTGAGTGTAGGTGTGCGTTTCTGTTTCTGTTTGGTTTTTCTTTTGTTTGTTTTTTTCATTTTCGTGCTTGGTGGACACTTTTCATATGTTTCAAATGGTAAGACTGTTTGTAGGTTTAGAAGCCCAAAAGGCAGGAATTGAGTCGAACTGTCAAGATAGCTTCTCTTTATCATTCTGTCGTTGGCTTTTAATACATAATCAGCGTAAGAACAGTGGCTTAATTATTATTTTTTGTTTACATCCATGGTAGGTATTACGTTAGTGTTTGATTTTTATAACATACTAGTCGCCTTTTAGACGAGTTCTGACTTTAGGGGAGCGCATTTTTATCAGGCGAGCCCCATCTTCTTTTGGGCTTGAGAAGAGAAAAGCGTCATACGGAGTAAGAATGAGATAATGCCACTGCGGCAAATCTACTCAAGAAAACATCTATTAAGGTATCAAGGTAGGTGTATTTTTATGAAAAATGCGAAAAATATTTTTTTGGTTGTTCAAATTGAGAAGACTGAGATAAACATTTTGCAAAAAACACAATTGGGGAAAAGCCTTTTTTATTTTTTTAAGATAGAGGAAAAAAAAATTTGAATATCATTAACCCTTTACGGCGCGTTGACACCTCTAATTAAAATTCACCGCCAGTTGTCACATGTAGCGCGAATTGCGGTATGATGTTTCATTTGTGCACGCGAACTGTTCTAGATCTGGTTGTTTGATCGCAAGTTAGCTTTCATTCTTGGCAAATTTTCTTTATGCCAGGACGAAAACGCAAGAAAAGTTCTTGCCCATTAGTAGCAAAGGGCGCTTATAGGGGCGGTAACCAATCAGGAGACAGGGATTACACCACGTGACCACAAAATTCTCATACATTCTCTTAAATTTTAAAATTCAAGATGGCGCATTGCTCAAGATGGCGGCCAAAAAGGTATGACGTCACGCGCGCATGCCCAAATAAGGCGATAGACAGGAAGTGAGTTTTTGAAATTGATTTTGTTGATACAGGAAGTGAAAAAATTACATTGGTGTGTATCCGTACGGAAATGACATGAAAGTGTTCGGGTCTACGACACGTTTGTCGAAGACGAGTCCGTAGCGTTTGGTCCGTGTGATGACTTTGAGATGTTTTGTGGCTGGGTTTCTCCAGAAGAAGTTCGGGTTGACGACGTTGATATTGCGTCGTTCATCGAGAGGTTGTGTGATTTCGTCGAGGAGATTTTGTCGCATGACGTCATAATTGAGTTGTCTGGATCCTCGTACATTAAGTGAGAATCCTCTGACTTTGCAGCATACTTTGCCTTGGTTGGTTTTGTAGCCGTAATTTTTGGGTCCAGCAGCAGTGAAATCGGCGATGAAATCTTCATCGTCGAGTTCGTTGGTAATCTCCCCCAGGTAATCGCCTAGCGGAACATCTGCTTGACCTAGTTTGTGCGAGTAGATCACGGAGTCGGTGTCAAAGTAGAGAACTTGTTGCTTTAACTGTTCCAAGTAGGTGTACAATTTGAGACAAGCCCAACAGGTGGTGAAAGCTGCGACGAAGATGTTGATTCGTCCGTTGTCGGGTTGGTTGTCTTTGAGTTCGGCGTAGACGACCTCTAGAGCTTCGTCGTTGGCGATTCTGACTTGTCGTATGTCGTTGAAGGGGTTGGAAACGAGGGCAAAGAGTTGCGCTGCGTTGTAAACCACTTGGGTGGTGGGTTTGTGTAGATTTTCACCGAGCTTGCACCAGAGAGAGTTGAGCATGAGTTTGGCAGTGGCTTTACGGCCGGGGTTTTTCTGGATCATGGTTGGATCTAGAGCGATGCCTTCTTTTTCTTGGTATTGGTGCACGTAACGTGTCTTGTCTTCGGAGGTGTTACACCAGTTAGGGTAGCCAGCGGATTCCTGTTTGATTTTTAGCCAGGTGTTCACGTAATCGGCGAAGAGTCCTTTACGGCGTTGATTGGGTGGGAAATGGTGGACTTCGTGGATCTTGTTGAGCGTTTATCCCATGGCAACGGCTTTCTGGATTTCGGGTGTGCACCAGGTCCCTCGGGGTGTGCGTTGCTCGGTTGTATGAGGGCAGTGATGAGATTTCTCTAGGAGGGGTTTTATCATTTCGTTTTCCATGCACGAGCGGCCGAGTGGGAAGGTGAGTTTACCTCCGTGCCGAAAGGGTAGAACGGGATGGGATAGTTCGTGAGGATGTAGTATGTCCACTTTGGCCATTCCGAAGTAGTGGTGGATGTCTTGATCTTCGGGGTTGACGATGACTTGCGGATGTCCTACGGGGTATTCGCATTCCTTGTTGACCCAGGGATAGAGCGACGTCACGTCGACGTACTCGGTTTTCTCTCCTTGGGTCACGTTGTTCACGTGATGCAGTTTGACGGCGTTCGTGCGACCTCTGAAGAAGGCTTCTCGGGGCTCGAGCGGGTCGACGATTTGGAACGTGTCTATGAACTGACGGAGATCTGGGTCGGTTTTGACCTCCATGTCCCACTCGCATTCCCACTTGATGTGGAGCTGGTAGCCGTGTTGCCTGAAAAGGGCGTGTTTCTTGAGGGTGGACTCGTAGACTTCCTGTAGAGTGCGATCGGTGTGGCAGATGGGATATCTGTCTGGGTTGAGCGGGAGACAGCGAGGACACCCGTACCATAGACATCCGTAGAATTCGTAGACGGTTCGAGTTGTGGGATCGTAACCGTCGACGAGGTAATTGGATAGGCGGACTTCACCTCCGTTTCGTACGGTACGGATTCGATCGCCTTGGTCGGGATGTTGTAGCGAGTGTTCTTGCCAGGCTAGCCATTTTAGGGCTTTGACGGACTGATTGGATCTGGCTCTGTGCCATCCTCGAGGTGGCCTGGAGGCGATGGTGTTTGTCGGTACTAGTTTCTTGCGCCAGAATCGGTTGCAGGCGGAGGCGATGGTCGGCTTTTTGTTTGAATTCTTGTCGGAACTTTTGACAGCCTGCTTTGAGGAGTTTGACATCCGACTCGCAGTATGCTTCCATTTCTCGCCGTAGGACGAAATGGTAGTTGTCGTTGACTTTCTCTTGGTACCACCATTCCAATTCGGCTTTCGTTTTGGCGGACATGCCGTCGGGATCGTACATGTCTCGCGGTGGCATGGGTCCTTCGTAATCTTGGTTTTCTAGGGTGTTGAATTTGTGCGGGAAGAATCCCTTACACAGTTCGTTTATCCCGAAGGTAGCGGGAACGTTGGCCAGCGGGAACGGGAGAAAGCACAGGGAATCTTTGAAAGTCAGTGTGTCGGACCTCAGGACAGTATCTTGGTGCCTACGGTGATCTGGTCCGTGACTTCTCGATGCGTGGCGTAACAGTGTTGTAAGATGAACATACCGTCGTAGCCTTTKAGATTGTGGAAGATGACGATGACGTCCCGATCGTCTCCGTCCACGTCGACGGCGATGGATTCGAGGTGGTCGAACATGTCAGCGGTGCAGGTGGGACCGTCTTCTAAGCAGAGTAGAATGGGTGTTTGATTCCCTTCGGCGTCGGTGATGGCTTCGTAGTCGCAGTACACTAGAAGGGGTGGATCTCTGTCCACCCAGACTCGTGTGTCGGGATCACCGGGTTCGGGTTTTTCGAAGGGACGATCTCTCACTTCGTCGCGTGGCACGCGTTTCTTTTTGGGCTCGTCTTCGTCTTCTGGGATGCGTTGGATGTAACATCGGTGAGTCGGTAGAAAGACTTTTTTTTCGCAGATGAGGCATTCTCCCCATCCGCACACGTGATCGAGGGAACAACGGTCACCTCCTCGTCCAGTCCTGTTTTTTTGGTTCGTAGACGTGGCAACAGTCTGGACACTTTTTGTAAGTGTCGCAGATGGATGCTATGTTCATGCTCCATCGTTACAGGTGGTAGTTGTAGCACTGGTCTCCAAAAAATTTTCTGTGGCACGACTGACAGATCGAGGTGGGTGTGGGAAACTTGCCGCGTGCTAGGGGTCGTTTGGCTTCGATAAAATCGGGGCATTCCTTTCGTTTGCAGGCGGGACACCATTTACTGTCGCAGGGATGATGCTTAAAGTCGTCGTTATCGTATCCTCGATTGCACTCGTCGCAGAAGTAGGATTTGTTGATGAACCCGTTAAACGAATTACATCCGTCGTAGTGACTGTCTTCTTTGACGAGGCGAATGATCTTGTCTGAGGGTACAGGTCCCGCGTAGATGAGCATGTGTGGTGGATCGATGGAAAGGACCTTTAGTTGGTACCCAGGTAACGCGGCCTGAAACTGCCGCAACTCGGGAAGACCGCAAGGTCCTTCGGGGACGTTGGCTAGACGGTGGAGTTCTTTGGCCAATCGCTCTTGGACGGGATACCCCTGTTTGAGATTGTGGTAATCGGGGTCTCGTGGATTCCCGTTCGCGTCTACCAGGGCTTTCATGGTGACGATAGCGCGAGCGCAGCAGAGATTGTCTTTGTTTTTGATGGTCACGCGCGACCGTTTGACGATTCCCCGTACGGCTGCACAGCTCGGTTTGTATCGTTTTCCGTTCCCACGCCCCGGACCTGGGGTGCGTATGAAAGTGGTTTCCATGGTGAAAGTGTTATCGGGGGTGAATTCTTCGTTGGAGTTGAGTTTGGCCGCTAGAGACTGTAGATAAGTGTCTTGTCTTTCACTCCCTTCTTCGAATTCGCGCACGGTGAAAGTGGTGGATTGAAAAGCGTGCGTGAAGGTACTGGACTGCATGGTGAAATGTACCGTGGAGTTGGGAGTCAGGGTAGGATCCTGAGCGATTTGTTGCTCGATGGATCGTTGAACGGCATGAGTCAATTCTTGACCTAGGTTGTCCCTAGGAGTAACATATCTATGTTGTTTGAGCGTGGCTTCGAATCTTTGTTTGTTGAGGACGTTTCGCCAGTTACGTCGAGCGCCTACGGGTCTTAGTTCGAATTCTAGGAGTGGTCTTGTACTACCACCACCGGTTTGGGTCATCACTTGGTCGAGAGCCGGATCGAAGATGCAGTCATCATCATCATCGTCCTCGTCGAAGAACGCTTCGTCGTGGGTCCGTCTGTTCTGTGGAGACATGAGTACAATTTTAATGAGAGAATGACACAAACATCGCTTTTTATCAAGAAACATAAGTTTTTATTGGTTGTTTTTACAAGAACTAATCACCGTCGTCCATATTTACATGACTTAACGCGCTATGAAAATTATATCCTAAATAGGATTTCCTTTTCCTGATACGATCGTCGACACCGTATATGATCATATGATGAGGGGTTGGTCCATACAACAATTTACA